GATATAAGGTCTTGCTACTAGCTATATCCAATGTATTAGGCTATTAAGGCATACTTCAAAAACATTGGCCAATACCGAATTTCAAAAAGAAAATTCTTTATTCTTTATACTTATGGTATTAATAATCTTTAACCAATTCTGTTGTGAAATATAATTATAATTAAATATTGAATAGAATAATTTTTTGTTAATTATTCTATATAGTATTATATTGCCTATTAAATAATTATGATTAAATAGTATATTTCTTACTGATAAATTTTCGATATGTTATAAAATATAATTCCTATTCAATAGTATTAATTATGTCCTTAAGAAAAGGTCAATTTGAAAATTTTAAAAATGAAAGAAATAAGAAAAATTAAAATACTACTGTGGTGTATGCAACTTTTTTTTTTCAATTTAGTTGTGGATGTCAGAAGCTACAAAAGAAATATAAAATACAAAAATAAAATTGAAAAAGAAAATTATTATATTATTTTTAAAGTATATTTTTCTTACAAAAACGAAGATATTTACCATTATGTAAATGTAATATGTAATACATAATTAACAATAGCTAAAAAAATTATGTAATATTATAGATATTACGCAAAAATCAGTTTTCACATTAGATCTATGAATCGTGTCAATGGAATCGGTATTTAAAAATAAAAATCCTAATCTCAAAGTCACACATGCAAATGTTATACGAAATAATGCAAATATTTAATATATAGTACTAATTCAGCAATATATATGTATATTTTTTTATAATTATCGAAAAATCGTAGCTTATTCTAATAGTTTGAAAAATCCCTAATCAAGGCAAAATACAAAAAAATTTGCAAAAGCACATTTATCATCCGAATTAATACAAATGTTACGAGCTAATGCAAATATTTAATATATAGTACTAACTCAATAATATAATTGTTTAATTACCTAATAAATAGAGAAAGAAACGTAAAATTTGCAGAAAAATCCATCAAAACTTAGCTCTAGTTCTATCTGATCTGCTTGAAAAAATATATAAGATCTATAAAATAAAAAATAGAAAATAGAGATGAAAAAACTCTTCACCATGTATGAAAAGCAATACTAAATTCTTTTTAGATTCAATATTCTTTACTCTTCACAGTTTCTTCCTCTTGAGGTTTCTCTGATTCATACAATACAATAATGGACAGGACAACATCATCTCTTTCAACACAGATAAGATAGAAAGTTGCGTTTACTCCTATTTATCATAGAGAGACTTGAAGGGGAAGGTATACTCTTTCTCTTGTAAAAGAAAGGAAAGGTTGCTTCTCTCCTAGACAAGAAAGGAAAGGTATGCTTCCCTCTCTTCTTTGATAAGAAAGAAAGGTGCCCCGGTTTTAGTTGACTCCCGTCTCAAATTCTCATGGTCCTAAATAATGTATGGTGAGAAAGGCTGCAGCTCTATTTATATTTATTGGGTTGCAAATTTTCCTAAATAGTAATACTATAATTTGTTTTATTTGTTGGAGTTCAATTCAATTATTTTCTAAAAAGAGATGACTTCACATCCATTGAAATAAGAATCAAAATTATATTTTGTGGAGCTCCAATTTAGAAATATAGCTACGGCTTCATTGAATAAGATATTAACCTACAAAATGAGACACATCGAAAGAAATGACTGAGAATAGATAAAAAAATAAGTAATATTGTAAATATTACCCTAAAATCTATTTTCACAGTACATCCGTTGAGAACAACTCGACTTGATCTATAAAGCCTCAATCAACAAATCATGTTAGGGCTTCTGTATATCTCTCAAATATCTACAAAAAAAAGAAAACAAAAATAACTCAATTTTATATAATATTCTAAAAAATTAAAATCAATTCCACATAGATACTAAGGAGAATATGATGGAAATGACCGAAATGTAGGAAAAAACAATGAAGAAATATAGAGAAAATAGAAGGTTACCTTATAGATCACTGAAAGATCAACAAAAACAAACAAAAATAACTCAATTCCATATATTGTTTAAAAAAAAGAAAAGAAAAGAAAAAAACAACTCCACTTTGAAACTAAGGAGAACATAATGGGAATAGCCGAAAATATAGGCAAAAGTAAAGAAGAAATATATAGAAATGCAGAGAAAACCGAAGATTACTTACTTTGAAAACCTAAAAATCTGATTTTACAATAGATCCGTTGAGAACATCTCAAAACAACTTGATCTACAAAGCCTCAATCAACAAATCATTTTAAATCTTCTATAGATCACTCAAAGATCTATAAAAACAAACAAAAATAACTCATTTTTACATAACATTCTAAAAAAATAAAAATCAATTCATCATAGAAATTAAAGAGAACATGTTGGAAAGTACCAAAATGTAGGCAAAAACAATGAAATGCAGAAAAAACAGAAGGTTATTTACCTTGTAGATCACTGAATTATCTACAAAAACAAACAAAAATAACTCAATTCCACATAATGTTGTTTTTTTCTTTTTTTTCTTTTTTAAAAAAAAAAAGACGAAAAAAAACTCAACTCCACATTGAAACTGAAGAGAACACGATGGAAATGACCGATTTTTTTTTAAAATTTAGGTTTGATATTATTTAATTACAAAATCATTGATTTTTTAAAAAATTTAGGTTTGATATCATTTAATTACAAAATCATTGAGGGAGTCAAAACATTCTAATTAAAAATAGAATGCTTATTTTATAATTTTTATTTTACTCAAGTATCTCTTCAAAAATATCTTGAAATACCCAAATTGCCCTTGTTTAAGGATAAGAAATGGGGGTGAGAACGGGTCGGATCAGGGCCGGATCTATCCAGATCCAGATCCGGATAGGATACATCAGATCCGCATTGGATTCAGGTTTAAACCGGAGCTTAGATATTCGGATCCGGATCCAAACAGTATACACTGGATCCGGATCTGGATTATATATGGATTATATATACTATTTTTAAAAAGTATATATATAAAAAATAAAAATTGACTATTTTTACAAATCGGGTTGGATCCGGATCTAGATTCGGGTCGGATCCACCTGTACCTATTTTCGATCTGGATTTCAATTTGAACTTGACTTTTGGATCCAGATCCGAATTTTGGGTCCATAGACGGATCCAAATAGATCCGAAATCCGGGTTTTTGGATCCGGATCGAGTCAATTCTCACCCCTAATGGGAACTCTAAATAAAGGCTTCAACTAAATTATGACAATACCCTTACTTGTTTGAGGGTCTAAATAGTGGCATCAATATTGCGATGCCACTATTTATGCAGGGTTTTCAACCTTCAATAAAGACAATTTGGATATATTTAAAAGCATTTTTTTAGGAGGTAACGAAAATCAAAAGTTAATATGGATTTTTTGTAGCCTCTTCAAGATTTTGTTAGGGGTTCTGTACTCTTGAATGATATTCATCCTTCTAACAAAAATTCATGGATATAGCAGTCATAATGAAAAACTCGTAGTAGAGATTTTGAAAGGGAGTAGACTCACTGCAACAGATGCGTCCCTAAGGCACCAAAACTCCATAATTATAAGTACAATTCATTGACTCGATTGAGAAGAAAATAGTGCAATAAAGCTTTATCCATTATTGTTGCTGGGTTTCGACCCTCTTGATTCCATGAATTTCATATAGTAAACTATAAAATAAAACCATTTACTATTTGGTTCAATGAGGTCACATTAATTTTTTTATTATTAGATATGAAATTAGATGATCGGATATGTAACACCGACCAAACTAAAAATTTCAAAAAAAAAAAAAAAAAAAAAAAAGGAAGGGAAAATCGAACGCTTTGACACTTTTGTTTTTTGTTTTTTTAGTGGGGAAGACAGATCCTTGCACGTTTTTTCATATAGATTATGGAGTTAGTATTTTTAAAGTGTTATCAATTTTTTTTCGGATGAGATACTCTACTCCCACCGGAGTGTGGAATCCTCATTTACTCCCTCGGATAAAATTCAATCTAAAATTAATTTTAGGACCCCAACATTTGGAGATATAACCTCTTCAACCCATAGATTAATATCAATAAAAACAATCATAATTATATCATCTATGCACTTGAATAAAAATAATATCTCGAGATTCAATGGAGACCAACCAAATTTTAAAGGGTGATTAGAAAACTCATTCAACCATTTTTTTTAAAGATAAAAATCATCTAGTAATTCCAAAGTGTTTCACAAAATTCTAAATTAAAAAAGGGACTCTTTACAAAGAGATCATTTATCTTTCATACATAGAGGTCACAATCATTCTTATCTTTTAGATTTTCAAATAGGTGATCGTAAAAGTGTCATTGATTAGATACAAAGTTCTCAAAAAAAAAAAAATGTCGGATTTCGTGACTCACTCCGAGCCTTTCAATTTGACATCTAATGAGTGGGAATAAGACCTCCTTGTACAAAAGATAAATGATCTCCTTCCAAACAATCTTTTAAACTTTTTTTTCGAAGTAAGTATTCTGACCGACGGAGTAGAAGTAAATTATGCCTCCAATAGAGCATAATATGCGTGCCCTTTGTTTATTGATCAATGAGAGAGAGATCTTTGCCTGTTATGACGAACAACTTGACCCATCTCTACGTACACGAGTTAGCACGTGCCAAGTTATAGGATCAGGCCATGGTTCTCAGGTGCAAGTCAGTGGCCCAATCACAAAGGATCCTCATTGATCCCATAGATTTATGAAAGGGACTTTTTCGGGAAGAAGTTAACCAAAGGAGGGTGCACGTTTGGGACCACGCCACACCACATTTAAAGCACCCTGGTGAGCCGTTGATTGATAAAGGTCAGGGCTAAGTGGCGTCAACATTGGCCACGATGGCTTATTCTTCTCCAATCTTCTCTCTCTTATCTCAATATGTAGGGATTGGATGAGGTGAATCTTGGCCTTGGATATCCAACCATCTTTTGGCCCTTCACTTTGATATTTTTGGATAACAAAAACCCCTCAAATATCTACCCCCCCACACCCCAACTTCACCCAAATATCTATCCCCTTAATCCCCCCCCGCCCTTTTATCTCTCTCTTCCTCTCTTTCTCTCTCTAAAAAAATTTTGTTTCTTTGTCCCTTTGTTGTTCTCTTTCTCCCTATAGAGTTTGTCGACTTCTAGAATAAAGGAAATGTGCCACCACCATAACAACCTCCCTTGTTTGCATTGCCACCCTCATAGCTACATTAGAATGGTACACTCTTGTTTTGAAATATGGGAACACACCTTGATTCCAAGTTCTCCATTTCATAATTCATCTAGCATAGAATAAGCAATTCACTTTTTATGGGTCTCTTCCTTTCACTTTTTATAGGTCTTTTCCTTAATATTGGCTTGATCACCATCTTGCTGGTTCTCACAGGTCCAACATCTCATAGAGAGATGTTTGCTACTTTGCATGGATCTCGATGCTTGCGTTGTGGCGCTCGCGAAGCATGCAAGGATCCAGCCACTCGTCACGGTGACAGGTTTCTTGCCTTGATTTGCTTAGGGGGTTCTGGCAGTGCTTCCTTTTTTCTGTTTTTTTTGGGGCGTGGGGGCGGGGTTTGGTGTATATTTGAAAATCTTCGAAATCGATATGTATTTCAAATTGGTGTATGCAGTTTGGAAGGGGCTCTTGAAAGAGAACAGAGGCTTCTTTCATGCTTATTTCAGAGCAACATCTCAACACCCCTCTCACTGTAAGTTTTTACTTTTTCTATACCTGCTTATTTTACTTTTATGCTTCATCTTGATTCATGAGTTTTGGTATGATTGTAGACAGACCAATTTTGAAGGCGCCCAAGTTTAGAAGAAGATGACAAAGAATGTTAATACTTGACACTCTGGAAGGAGGCAGCGCTAGGGTTCATTAGTGTTTGAATTAGAATGGATGGATATATTGTAAGGTTTCTCTTAGAAAAACCCAGCATCAAGGCTAAATAAGTTATTTCCTTTGGGAATAAAAGTTATATTGTCCAATACTTATATTACACAATCAGAAAATCTATGAAAATTAACCATAGTTTCTTCCATCCATTCCTGTTTAAATAGTATGGAATGAAGTTTCAAGCTTCAACCATTGGTTTAAAATGGATGTGAATATTTATGAGATGTATCCTGCTGCATGCGATTGAGAAAAGGGAGAGGGTTATTGGTTTTAAAATGATTTAGTTATCATTCCAAACCAGCTTAAATAGAGTTTAGAGTGTTTGTTTTCAACCTTAACAATCTTGGTTTGTTTTGAATCTAATCTGGTTGCGACTATCTTGCATTATTTTGAGTCTAATCAACATGAAATATTGTTTAGATAAATCTTTATGTTTACCAATGAGTTACTGTAGTCTCAAATTGCAAGGGACCCTTCGATTTAATTGCAAATCTTTTTCAAGTGATGTATTTTTAATTGGCAATTTGGTCAATTGTCATTTGATGGGTATTTGATTGCTGCAATTTGAATTATAAGTTGGTTATTATGTGGTGTAATGGCGGTTGTATTGATGAGGTGATGATGGAGGTATAATGTGATAGTGATGGTGGTGGAGTGGTGGTGACGGTGGTGGCATTAGAGGAGGTGGTGGAGTGAGCTGGTGGTGGCGGTGGTGGCATTAGAGGAGGTGGTGGAGTGAGCTGGAGGCGGTGGAGCTGTGGTGATGCAAAGTAGGTGGTTGTGATAAAGTAGTGACGATAGTGGGGTACCGGTAGTGATGGTGTGGTGATGGTGGTGGTGGTGGTGGTGGAGCGGTGGTGGTCGTCGTGGCAGGTAGGCGATGGTTGTGGAGGTAGAGTATCATGTTAATGAGGTAGTTGTAGTGGCGGTAAGATGGTGGTAGTGGCTGCTAGATAGTGGTGGTGGTGGCAGTGGTGGAGGCGGAAGTCGAGTAGCGAAGGTGCTGCGTTGGAGCGCTTGTGGTGGAACAGTAGGTAGGTGATAATTGTGGTGGTTCAATAGTGGTGGTGGCAGTGGTGGCTGCTGAGCAGTGGTGGTGGCTGCTAGATCGATGTGATGGTGGTGATGGCGATGGTTATGTTGGAAATGGTTTTTTGTTTTTTTTTTTTCTGGTTTTTTGGGTTGGGAGAGAGAGATGGATTTTTTGGAAAAACAACTTGCTTCAAAAAATTCAATGTGGGGGTCAAACTATAATTGACAATCATTTCAAATTTGCTAATCAAACGTTATTTGAGGTTAAATTGTTGGTGAGAAATTACCAGACAGGCTTAAATTGCAATTTGGCTTGGAAATCAAACCATGCCTTATATTCTAAGTTTCTTCCTAAAATTCACTTAGAATGGTTTAGAATGAGCGAACATACCCATGGTGGTTTTTCACATTGGTTATGGGAAGACAATCAAATTTTTACTGCAAATATGCTACTTAAGCTCATGGACTCTGAATTGTTTATCTTTTCAGAAAGTGACACATTGTCATTTCCAATCACTCTTACCTTCTATAGGTACAATAAATGAGCACTGACTTAATATCTATTAAATTGAAAAAATTGATGAAAATTTTGATAAAATGATTAAACACTACTACTCCCACTAGTTTTCGACTAAGTAATGAGATTTCTCAGTGATTTCTCAACCATTTTCGGTGAGGTTTGTTTCTTAGCTACAAGACGTATTACTATTGGTCTTTGTAATCTCGAAAAGGCTCTCAAGAGCATTCAACTTTGAGAGCTCTTTAATGAGTGTTTTAGAGAGATTTTATGTCAAGGGTGTCTAGTACTTCAAAGACAACATGTACATCTTGTGACTCCAAGTCCTGTGAATCCCAAATTCAGTCAAATTACATCCAAAAGAATTTCAAGGACTTATCCTTTCTACAAAGAGTTTGTTTGTGTTGTAGTGAAGAAATTTTAGTGTGGTTCTAGTTGTCATTATCTCTATGAGATTGGATACAAGGGGAGTCCACTTCTCAGTGATTTTTACTTGCTTGAGCCTTCATCTCTTTACCTTCGAGTTTTCTACACATAAGGCTCTGAAGTTTAGTTTTAGACCTCAGTTAAGATCTGACTCATTGGGGCGCGCCACCTCCAAAGCATTATCCACTATATCTTCTCTAGAAAGCCCCCCAAAGTCCTTTCAAGCACCAAGCCATGACAGTAGTATTAAGCAATGTTTGAAAAATCAAACAGGTCTCGAAAACTAGCCAATGGCCAATTTCAAGTAAATGGTAAACGGCCGGCTCTCCTCTAATCCTTTCCTTCCAAACTTGCCAAAAAAAATAGCAGTCATTGCAATCCCCCATTAAAGGGACAAGTTTTTAGGCACATCATGCTTATATAAAACAAGATTGATACCTTATATAAACTTCTAAAGAGGAAAAGAGACCAAAATTTTTAAATAATAGATTGAAATAGGAAAAAGCAATCATAGAAAGAAATAAAGGACTAAAACACCGTACTTCTTGGGGAACGAATGAAGAATCCAAGAAGCTGCCTTTCTTGGGTTCACAAGGCCATTAAAGGGTTAAATTGGATCAGTCCTGAATCTCCTCATATATCATGGGGAATACCCTTCTCAAGACAAGAATTGCCTTTAAATATTTCTTTACCAAAAATGCCTCTTTCCACAACAATCAGAATTCAAATTTCTCCCTCCATTCTATTTCTCTGCTTTAGCAAGGTGATAGATTTTCACGTAATGAAGTTTTAAGTTCCATTCCTATCATAAGTAGGAGACTCTATCCCTACTGAACTACCGACAAAAAAAAAGCCCCACACAAAACGCGCTTCCCACAAAAAGCCCTTTAACCTCCATCCACCAAACTTCTCCCTCTTCTCAAACCTGGAAAAGAATAAAAAAGTGAGACAAGAAACAACCTTACCACGTCAACCAAATTGACTCAACACCTGCTCTCTCTCTTTCTCTCTCTCTTAATGGAAGGCATAAAACTAAACTCCATGACAAAGTTCCAACTTCCAATGTTTCGTAATGGTAAGACTATTATTTGGCCTCGAGCAAAGGGAAAACTGGCAAAGGCTGTAACGAATTTGAAATATATGGTCCCAAAATAAACATCCAACTTTTACACTTGTTGCAAAAGAAATGCTCGGTATGTTTAAGTATAAAACAAGACCATTTACTTTTAGGATAAAAAGAATACAATCAACACTGTCTATTACATATGAAATTGACTGGCTAGGAATGTACTATTAATCATCACTCAAACTCTAAAATTTTTTTTTACTGAAACTTTGTGAGATAGCCGTGACCACTGATTTCATATCTGGCAGCTAGATGTGATCGTGACCTTGTAAGAAAAGTGGGTGGCCTTAGAGTATGCAATACCCATTTTATGATAAAATGGGTCAAACTATCCTTATATTGCATAGACCAAACCGGACCAGTTGAATTAGACCAAATATATATCCCTTTTTGAAAAAAATACACACACACGCATATATATATATATATATATATATAAAAAGCATCGACGCAACACCTATGGGCAAAAATCAACAGTGTTTTCGTCCATTGGCTCATCATTATCCAAAAAAATCTCGTGGCATGGATAAAATGACCGCCACGGACTTAGCAACTTTGTGGCAGTACCGTCACGAACATACTAGGTCCGTGAGAGTAAAAAAAAAAATCACGCAAAAGTGTCACAGACATTGCGCCGTCCGTTGCGGGTTCGTTCAATAAACTACCATGGAAATAGCAAGTTCGTGGCATGAGTATTTTAAAATATTTAGGGTGTGTGTACATATGACCAAATCTCACCAAAATAAAATATTAAAAAAATAATAGTCATAAAATAAAATGATAACATTACCCATGAAAATTTATAGGGGTATTTTACATAATTTTTATCAGTCAAATTATTTGTTTTATATTTTATTCATGTGCATCTCACTAAGGCGCACACACCTACAAACTTTCAGATCATTATGATTTCTAAAACAAATATTAAAATTTAAACACTATCAAACATTTGTGACCATGTGATAAACTTTGAACGGTGATAACGTCATAGGCGAAGTACTGTAGAACTTCACCTATAGGCATTTTGTAGAGTTTTCTTTT